AAGTCTTCTGCCGACACGTCGACTATTCCTTTGATCTGACGTCCAATCTTTTGACATATTCAATTCTAGCCCAACTTCTTATTCTTTCCGTTTTAATCAATTTGTTTCTCCTGATCGAAACTAATCCTACGTCACTCAAAACACAGATTAGATCATAACATTATCAATTGGTTTCATCATCAAAATCTGAGATTCAACAATCTCCCCCTTTTTGATGATGATAACTAATGATGATGGAGTTCAAACAAAACTTCCCCTATCAATATGTCATATTGATAGAACCTTTAAATTCAGAATGAATTATGAGTATTTCACCCATGCATCATGAATATTGAAAAAACTAATTAATCATATCGTTGTATATAATATAAAATCATGCATAATCAAAGTATCCAAGTACATCATCTCATGCATGATTATAACTTATACATTATCATCATATCTTCTCCCTCTTTGTCATCAACAAAAAGGAGAAGTGCAACTAGCAATTTTTGAGACATACTTTCAAATCAATGCATAATTTCAAGTCTTTGAAATATCATTGCATATATCATCATGCAAGCTAACAAGTTTTTCAGATATAAAAGTTAACAAAACTTTTGGATCTTTTAAGATGTGCAAGATAGCATGTTTTTATATTTTTTTGAAATATGCAAGCTAGCAAACTTTGCTTCCCTTTTGAAACGAGCAAGCTAGCAAGCTTGCTTTTCTTTGCGATGTGCAAGCTAACATTTTTTATTTCTTTTTTGCAATATGTAAATTAGCAAATTTAGCATTTTGAGATACCAATTCTTTCTCCCCCTTTATCATTGTCAAAAAGAGGAATATAATGGTACAAAGTTTTTCTTTTTACATCAGTTTTCATATCATAACATGAAAATTGATGATCAATATCATGAAGAATATACATCAATATTTCAATCTTCAAAACATAATGAATCTCAAGTTGAGAAATTAAGATTTTTACAAAGTTTTTCTTTTTACATCAGTTTTCATATCATAACATGAAAATTGATGATCAATACCATGATTAATACCATGAAGATCAATTTGATGATCAACACAAAGGAGTCATAATGAATCTCAAGTTGAGAAATTAAGATTATAATTTGTATAAATCTCCTCTTAAATAAAAACATCATAGAGAATTATAATAATATCGAGAAATCAAAATAAAAATCATGATTCATTTGGATAAGTATTCTCTTTAATAAAATGCAAGAGTCATATGAGAATAAAGGGTAAGAGATCTTGATTCAAGTTATAATTATGAGAATTCAAGATTATGATTTCAATAAAGCTTCTCTTTGATACATAGCAAATAGAATCATAAGAAAAAAAATCTCAAGTATCAAGTGAAAGATTGGGATTAAATTCATTCAAATTTAAATCGATAAATCATCAAAATCACTTTCAAGAGATTCATAAAAAAATATAAATAGATTCATTAATCTCTCTCATTTTTTATATCAATGATTTAATTATATCATGAGATATACAAATCATAATTACAAAAGAGTCATATAAAAATTATGGCATGAAAGATATTAATATGAAAGATCAATTTATGAATGATTCATTTTAACAAATCTCCTTTTTAGTAAACAATGAATAGAATCATAGGAGATCAAACAAGAGATTTTGATTCATATAAAATAAATCTCAAATCATTAATGTCAAGAATCAAGATTCATTTGGATAAATCTTCTCTTAGATGATAAAATTATACGAGAATAAAATAATTCATATAAAATACATCTCATGTCGTAAACACGAATAAATCAAGTGTTTAGATAAATATGAAAATAAATTGTCAAATCTAAAATCATCATCTTTAAAACCAAAAAAATAAGATTTATCACAAAAATCATTAAGATCAAAAGTGTAACACCTAATTCCAAAACATAAGATTTTAAACCATCATTACTTCAAATTCTCATGCATAGTATAAAATCATCAAGCATGATACCAAAACTTCTAACATTTTCATTACATCATTATATCATTATGCATCATTAAATCATCAAACATGATTTCATAAAATATGAAGCATTTTCAATCAAAATTATTTTGTTTATTGTAGTAATGCATTTTTCTTTTTAAGTGAATCTAATTCTTCATGCTTAGTGCTAGGAGTTAACATGCAATTACCATGCTCAAATTTTTACTTTTTTTCAAAATCACTAGAAAAAGAAGCATGCTAATTTTTTTTTATATTTTTTTTATTTTTTACTAACTAGTTTAAAAATAACTTATGAAAAGCATCAAGTAATTTCATAGTAAAGTAAAGAAGTTTAGGGTGAGTCATTTACCTTGTCGTCGGAAGTTAGTAAGGCGTAGTTCACCAACTTATCTTTGTTGGTTTGCTTCTTATCTTCGGATGAGCTTGATTCATCCCAAGCTACATTGAATACTTTTTTTTTCTTTGGTGGCTTCTTCTTTTTAAGTTCATTTTTATTCTTTAAGAACTTTTTAAGCTTTATTGTGAGAAGGTTAAGGTCATCATCATCATCACTTGAGTTATCACTCAAGTGATATTCTATTGTTCAAAGTGTCAAATCCTTCATGTTCTTTAGAAGGTTGTTCTCATGTTCATCAAGTTCATCACGTGCCTTGCATATCATTTCATGGGTCATTAATGACTTGATAAGTTCTTCAAGTGGAAACTTATTTAAGTCTTTTGCCTCTTGTATTACAATTACTTTAGGATCCCAATTTTTAGGAAGAGAACGTAAAATTTTATTGATAAATTCAAAATTTGAAAAACTTTTATTAAGTATTTTTAAACTATTGATGACATCCGTAAAATGGGTATACATGTCAACAATAGTTTTAATTGGCTTCATACAAAACATTTCAAAATCATGCATCAAAAGATTAATCTTCAAATTTTTAACTCTACTAGTGCCTTTGTGTATAATTTCAAGTGTGTGCCAAATCTCATAAGCCATTTAGCAAATAGAAACTCGATTGAATTCATTTTTATCTAAAGCACAAAATAAAGCATTCATAGCTTTGGCGTTCAAAAAGAAAGTCTTCTTCTCCAAATCATTCCAATCGTTCATTGGAAGAGAAGACTTTCGAAATATGTTTTCAACAATATTACATAAATCGAGATTCAATGAAAGCAAGAAAACTCTCATCCGAGTTTTCCAATAAGTGTAGTTCGTCCCATTGAACATAGGAGGACAAATGATAGAGTAACCCTTTTGAAAGTTGAATTCTCTTAGGTGTTAAACCAAACGAAAAAAAACATGGCTTTGATACCAATAGTTAGGATCAAGTCAATACTAAGAGGGAGGGGGGGGGGGTGAATTAGTGTAGTGATAAAAATCAAGTTTAGTCAGAAATCTTCATACGATAAAAATCGTTTCGATAATGTTTAACTTTGAAAATATTCGTAAGAGTGTGCAGCTAAAGTAATGGGGAAGTAAAGCAGTTGCAAAGTAAGTAACTGGCAACAATAGAAATGCAAGTTGAGTTTATAGTAGTTCGGTCATCATGACCTACGTCCACTCCTGATTCTTCTTTTATCGAGGCCACCGACATCCACTAACGGTCTTCCTTCAATGGACAAAGACCAACTACCCTTACAACTATATTCTCCTTTTTGATAAGCTCAGGAGAGAACCTTTACACTCTCATTCACTCCTTCTCTAAATAGAAATCACACTTAGACTAGAGGAGGAGAATTCTTAAAAGATTACAATAGAATTTTTCCTTATTTTTATTCTCAGTTCTTATGTTATCTGAGCAGGGATGAGAGGGATATTTATAGACTTCAAATGGATTCAAAATTTAGAACTTATTGCTTTTTCATGGATAATGAATAGGATTGATAATAATTTAATTTCTCCAACTCAAATGGAGTATCGCATGAAAAATAGTTATAAAAGTTAATGTTATTTGTTAAATAAAATAAATAATATTAAATTATATAAACTATAATTAATCTTTGTTGTGTGAGAAATAGTTTTGGTTAGTTATTTGAGTTAAACTCAAATTTTTGACATATAAAATACATATAAGTTCTTTACGACTATTCATCACTTTTATGTATAGTGATGTTTTTGTATATATTTTGCATATGATCGACACTAAAGATGTTAAGTAATGTGAATATGTGATGCATGACAAAGACACAGACCTCGTAAACATCAAGCCGAAATAAGAAGATAATAATTATTTTAACAAAAAGCTTGTGAGCCTGAGTTAATTATGACAATTTGACAATGATTAGAAGTCTAATACGAAGTATTTATCTAATTGAATTGATAAATTTTGATTGTTAATTGTTAATTGAAGTATCTTTTCATTTATCTTCAACTGTTGCGAATGTAAACAATGTTAGATGCATTGATGATGTTAGTTATAGAGTATACTATAAAAAATAGTAACATAATTTATGATGTTAATTAAACAAAATAATTAATATTAAATTATATGAATTAAAATTGATAACAACATATAATGTATCTCTATCTTAACATGCCACACGAATATTTAATAAAATATTGTATTTGATGATTTTCTTATTGTATCTACTTACAGATGATATTATTGTAACAAAAATAAATTAGTGTTACAAATGTTCTCAACCTACTGAAGCACTTATAAAGTAATCACATCATAAGTTCTTTATGATATGCATCAATTTTGTGTACAATCATAAGTTCTTTATATTTATTTTGTAGATGATTCATATCGACAATATTAAATTATATGAATATATGATGGATGAGAAAGACATGAGTTCTTTATGAATATTAATCACTTTTGTGTATAATCATATTTTTTATATGTATTATGCATATGATCGATGTTGAAGTAAGTGAATATGTGATGCATGAGAAAGAACAAGAACGACACAAAAGACACACGAGAAAGACGCCAACTTTTGTGATGTTTATTTACGACTATTCATCACTTTTGCTAGAGACCACCAGCCCCGCTGTCTCCGTCGGGCCGTACCCGTGGCTGAAGGCGAAGCCGAGCGCGTCCATGAGGTGGAGCACCGCAGCCGGGGGCAGTGCTCCGACCGTGAGAACCTGGATCAGGCCGGGGAGTGGGCGGCGGGTGGGGTCCGGGGCGTTGGCGAGCACGTTGATGACCACCGGCCAGCCGCCCATGTGGGTGACCGTATGGGCGGCGGCGTCGAAGCGGCGGAGGCAGACGTTGACGCCGTCAGCGGCAGCTATGCCCCAGGGGAAGCTCCACCCGTTGGCGTGGAACACGGTGAGCGTCCACAGGCACCTGTGGTTCTTCGGCACGGACCAATCGATGAGGGAGTCCACGATGACGAGGAAGAGGTCGCGGTGGCAGTGGACAATTCCCTCGGGGCGGAGGTGGTGCCTAAAACTCGAACACCATGGCTCGACCCAATCCAATGTTTACGTGTAAGAGAAAGATCGGGTCTAATTTGGGCCCGATCCACTAAGACATCATTATCTCATACCCAGCATTTAGGTCGGATTCGGGTCAATTGTGATTAGCTCCGCGTACAATGCATCCGATCCGATAGTGCTGACGGATTCAATCTAAGAATCCATATCTAGATTTCTGAATTGCGTTCGGGTTCGATTTAGGAATCGAATTTGAAGCGATTAATATGAGAATCATTTACTTTGCCGATATGCATCTTGCGTCACCCCTGGAAATGTTCGGGGTGATTCAGTCCACCAACCCAAATCCAACCTTCATTTAAAGGAATCATCTCTATCACCGACCGCAAGGAACTCACCGGATAACTGTTTTGCAGGTTTACAAGCAATGGAAGGGGTGACAGCAGCAGCAAACAAACATAAAGGCAAACCTCAAACTACATCTCCATTAATACCACAAGCACTTGTCTTCTCCGAGCACCCTGCATCATCTCTAGGACTGCTCTTAACACACTGCACGGTAACTTCCCTTTTCTTACAGCTTGGAACGGGGATTAGTTCATGGTTGAACATAGGAGGAGCTTCCTTGTCAGACATTCTCCGGGGTTGTCGATGATGGCAGGAGTGGCTGCTTCAGAGAGGAAGCCTTGAAGGAAGCAGCACCGGTAGTAGCTCTGAGACCATCGTGGTCGGGGGTGGATGAGGCCGTGAGGGCCGCTTCCTTTGCAGCGAAGGCTCTCTCTTCGCTCTTCCCCCACAGCACCAGGTACAGTCCGGCTATGATGAATACGGCACCGATGATACTGCATCCGATGGAGAAGAGAGAGAAAAGAGTTAGGAATGAGAAGACGAAGAAAGTTCGTCTTAGTTATTATGATATCAGGTGTTTTTGAGTACCCGCCGAGGTAGAACTCCTCTCGCAAGGCGATGGAGGCCATGATGGCGACGACTAGAGTCTGGACTGGCTGGTACACGGCCACGAACACAGGGCCGCCCCTGTCGATGCACCATATCTGAACCGCGAAGGCGATGCCCGACGCCACGAACCCCTGCATTTGCCTCAACATTAGCAAAACTGGTTCGAATGTACCCTACAACGACATTTGATCAAACGCCTTCATGCCTTGTCCCCTTTCGAGTCATAGCAATACTCTTTTGTGCCTTGGCAGAAGATGTCTGCCTTTTATCTACCAACAGTAAGTACAAGCATGATGAGAAGACCTGTGTCTGTCTCTCCAGTGGATTATTGTAATAATTGCTACATGGAGCCTACCCAATGCTGAAGGATGAACACACAAAGTGGATCCAGAAAGGGCAGATATGAAAGAGATACTTATCTCCAGTCATGTCTACCACCATGCTGAAAGCATTGAGAGCATCCATAAGCTCATGAAAGGAAAAAGGGATGGACAAAGCATGATCTCCAGACAAGGAGAAAAGGTAAAGAAGGGAGCTATGTTGCAAAGCGTGCTCCTTTCTCCTTCCCCTTTCAAAGAATGTTTCATTTGATCCTTCTCCATCGCAATCATGGAGTGAGATCATCATACCCAGACAAAGTGTTCTTTTTTATGTCTAAAAATTAATAATGCAGTGCATCTGCATCTACAATTAATACGGTCACTAATTGATTACTGTCCAAATAAGAAGATACAGTAAGCTGCTGCAGAAAGAAGGAACACGCAGTAGTACACTGCAGGCATGTACCGATGAGCACCGTGAACCAAAAAGAGGAGCTAGTAAGAAGCGTACCGCGTAGAGGATGGTGAAGAGCTCGCTGCCGGAGTGGAACTTCCAGGCCTCAGCGTCCCTCTCGATGAACGCGGCGATGACCAAGAACTGGATCACCCCGAAGAAGCAGGTGTAGGAGGTCACGGACAGTCGCGCCGGGTATTTCTTCAGCACCGGCGCCTGAAGCACGAGCCAGCCGGACCACGACAAGCAATGGCCGATCAGGTACAGGCACCCCAGCGTCCAGTTCTTCCCCTTGGCGTCCCCCAGCCAGAGCATGGTGGACTGGCTCGCGTCGTTCAGGGCGCGCGAGGGGCCGAAGATGGTCGGCCCCTTGTACAAGGTTATGATGGTGGCGCCGCCGACGCAGGCCAGGGTGCCCATCAGCTTCGCGATCCCGTCGCGTCGGTCGATCCGCACCTTCTCTATCCTGTTCGTGGAATCAAGTTCATGAACAGACTCAGCATCCGGTTGCTGGGGAGTACTGGTAAAGGTGTTCGAATCTTGCCTGAGAATGGCGGCCATGAGGAAGGTGATGGCCGGGACGGAGTTTTGGATGGCGGAGGCGAAAGTTGGAGAGGTGTTATCGAGGCCGAGAAGGTAGAAACCCTGGTTTGCAGTTATACTGCCACGAATAAAGAACACATAGCTCAGTAGAACGCAGAATGAGGTCTGCAAGCCAAAGCAACATGAGTTGTACGTCATTTTTCATCTTACCCACACAGAGCGAGGAGGAAGAATTGAACAACGAACGATAGTGTCAAAGCCGGTCTGTCCTTTCTGCATAACGAACACTAAAATCAAATGCTATATATATTCTCTTACAGCATCTACTTAAAGTTGTAGCCGCATGCATATGCTGCATGTATGGAAGGAGGAAAGCAAGCGAGTCCTCTTACTTCTCGAGGAAGTAGGCAAATGGAACGAGGAGGATCAAGGCGATAATGTTGCGGTAGACGGGGAACACCACCTTGCTGATCCCCATGTTAAGGGCTGCCCGGGAGACGACATGGAATCCGGCGTACCCAAACTGCAAGGCCAGCATGGCCACATGCAGCTGCACCCTCTCCGGCACGCCGCATACTTTCTTGGCATCGACATCGGCCATTTCATCCACCACCACCACCACCACCGAGACACCACAACACACACAATGAAAGAAGTAAGCGTGAAGAGTAGAGCAGCAGCGGGGGGGTTTAAATATCGCTGGAGAGGAGGGAGGAGGGCAGAGGTTAGTGTGGTGTCGTCCCCACAGGGAGGCCCTCAAAAGAAGCTACGTCGACTGTTATTGTTTTCTGGTTGTCTCCCACCTCCGTCTCCCTCCCTCTTTGCATCACAACAAGCACTTGAATCTTTGGTGAGACACTGTGTGACATTTTCCGCAGATGCGTGTGCGTTTGCCCTTTTATTGGACTGACACGACAGCCGCGATCGCACTAGGTGGAGGAGGGACATGGAGGAGGTCGATATGGATCTATTTGGCTCCATCCCACTAAAGGTCACATAATTGAGGAGGAGGAGAAGGTGATATGACATGGATAAGACGCACGAGGGAAGCTTATGTGACCTTTATTTCAATCTTCTGCTCATTTCACAACCGTGCATTATTTTAGAGAGACATGTTTATATATATATATATATATATATATATATATATATATATATATATATATATATATATATATATATATATATATATATATATATATATATATATATA